AACGTTGCTGAGCCGGACATAAGGCATTACTGCAAAGTTGCAGAAACATTGCCACAAGGATTTTTGTAACATTACACTTACAAATGTAACGTTCAGTAATATTGTAGAAATATAATTTTTCCCAGTAAATTAATTAACAATAAGCTTGTCCGAACTTTTAAATTCGTAAAATTTGAAATCATGATTTACTGTGCACAGCATTTTTTTTATTTGGAATGTGTTTTTTTCATCTCACTCACTCAATTACTTAAGGTAGATCTATCTTATTTATTTACAGTTAACAATTGTAAACTGTAACTTTAATTTAATTTCAGTTTTAGTATTCTGAAATAAAGAAAAAAGTTATTTACAATATTTTGATTTAACAGAGTAAAATTAATAAAATCACGCAATTTGCACGTGTTATTCGAAAACTTAAAAAAACATTGAACGGGGCCGTATTTAAAGCTAAAGATATCCAAAAGATATTTATTTGACAAAATATTTAATAATAAAAATATTCTTATGCTAAAATATTAAGCGTCAAACATCACTGAATCCACCAATAAGGACCTCGCTGCAGCGGCCATGGCCACCTGCAAATGTCTCGATAACGCCTTTCAATTGTATTTGTTTTGTACCATCTGTTAAATAAAAAGACTGCTGTCCAAAGGAAAATCACCCTTAATTCTCTATTGCAATGCAACGTGGCTTAAGCCAAAAAGGTATTGCTAATTAGCAATACCTTTTTGGCGCCTCGACAAAAAATACTTTGTTTTTTTCCATTAGATCGAGCAGAACTCAAATTTCGGTAATAAAAGATTCAAAAAATTAAAGTTCGGACATGCTTTAATAGTTTAACTGATATTTTAAAAAAAATATTTTTAGAGTCAAAATATAGCTCAAGCTGCTTTTGAGTCAGATTGGATCACATATGAGTTGGATGTGAAAAAAAGCTTAATTATTTTAATGAGTAGATCTCAAAAACCTTTAAGTTTCTCTATTGGACCCATATACAATATGAAAATTGATGCTTTGTTAGTGGTAAACTAATTAAACTATTTATACATTTTTTTACTTACAACATTTTTTTTAGATTTATAAATCCATTTACTCTTATGTTGCTGTTTTTAAACAAAATAATGGCTAAAAAATAATGCAAAAATAATAAAAATGTTAATTTTAAACATTATTGTACTAGCAGATAAGATCTCCCTGATAGCACACTTTATTCTAAGAATGTTTTTTTAGTGGTAAAAATTAGTCTACTCTAAACATATGCTTAGAATGTTAAGAAAGTTCATTTAGGAATATTCCTGTTAAGCATATTTAGTTCAGTTACCTATATAATAGTAAAAAATACAATAAACTACGTATAAAGGTATATACCTATACTTATAAGTATAGGTATATACCTTTATACGTAGTTTATTGTATTTTTTACTATTATATAGGTAACTGAACTAAATATGCTTAACAGGAATATTCCTAAATGAACTTTCTTAACATTCTAAGCATATGTTTAGAGTAGACTAATTTTTACCACTAAAAAAACATTCTTAGAATAAAGGTACTTATAAGTACCTAATTAGTAATTAGTATTAAATACCAAGTAAAAAACACAATCCAAAATATTTTTTTAAAGTTATTTATCAAATTAAAACAATATTCGATAACAAAAATACTTTTACTATAGGTATTTTATTTTATGTAAAAAATAAATATTTATTAATTATAAATATAAATATAATAATAATCCTATCTTCAACTTCAATCTAATCTGACTTTAAAAAAATATCCCACAAAATTTTCCAATTTTACTTTTTATAAAATAATGCCATACAACTTATGGTTTAGAGGTCAAATTGTTTATTTAATATTTTTAAATAAATATATATTAATATGTGGCTTTTTTTAAGGGGACGACAAATACATTTCACTGTCATATTATGACAGTGAGGCGTATTTGTCGTCTCCTGAAGAATTTTACGAATGTAGAATACAACATATTAGAACGTGGATATCTGACATATTTGGAAATATTCTCAAAAGCTTCCTAGAAGCTCCATAAGAAACCTTCTAAGAACATTCCAAAAACGTATTCTTAAAATGTTCTTAGGATGCTTTTTAGGAAGATTTTAAGAAGCTTTTAAAAATCTAATTGCATTATTAATTTAATTAAAAGGGTATCTATTGAATGTTTTTAAAGTCCGTAAGAACATTCTTAGCAATAAGGGAAGGTTCTAAGAATATTCCATTATTCCGGGTCATATCTTCTTAGAAGATTCTTAAAATTAAATTTTGCTATCAGGGTAGAACCACACACATTACTTTATTGACGTGTACACCCTATTATATCTAGGCAAAGTATAAATACAATATTATTATTATATTATTATTTAAGTAATATAGGACAAAATAGCATTTTTATTGTTTATAACAATAAATAATATGTCTAGTTTTCCACCTGACACTTCTTGGTTTAAGGGTTACCAGCATCAAAACTACGTTTTTAGATTTTTGTAAAAAGCAGTTTTTATTTTATATTTATTTTTTAGTCAAACAGCTAGCTATTCATTTTTAAGGCAAATACATATATAAAAATCTGTACATTTGCCTTAAAATTTTAGTTGACTTGTAGTTCTGCTTTTAATGTGTCAATATTATACGGAAAACATTAAGTATACTGGAGCATTTAAAGCTGGAAAACAGTAGCAAAATATAAATCACATTTTTGATGTTGCAGTCTTTTTAAGTTGTATAAATGTTTGTCCATGTATCAGGGCTATAGCGTTTTCGCTCATACAAATACAAGAAATACAAAATTAGGAGGCATTTTTAGCGCAAAAACCGTACAGTACCAAATCAATTATATCAATCCTATAGGGTCACAATTTAAATGTGCAAAGTTAACCAAAACATGCAACTTGTTTACAAACTTCTCTGGACAGTCGTTTTTATTAAACACTCGCTCGCAAGCTTCGCTCGTGCTTAATTAAACTCGTAACTAATATGGAGGTTATGATTGATTAAGATAAGAAACTATTTTAGATGCAAAATATATTTTAAAATAATAAAAACAAAAATTATAAAGCAAAACAATTTGATATTTATTTATGTTGGTTATATTATGTAAACACTAAATAAACATATTATGTTGTGTAAGTGACTGTTTTTTATTTGTATTCTTAATATAATTGTTATTTAAAGATACTGTTTTTCAGTAGAAACAACGAAACTTTTTAATTAAAAGGCAAATTCCTATATATATCAACCGTAAGTTTTGTCACGTAGTGACGTATTGCGCGCGACTGTCTAAAATTCGTTCGCAAACTGATTATACCTTATTGTGTTAGTACCATGGTGCCAGTAAATATTTGAATTTTTTTATTTTATTTTGTAGAAAACCGACTAGAGATATCTCTGCAACCGTCATATAATAATTTTTTATGTTGTTGCTTAATAAAATAGAAGGCATAGTATACCAGTTTTTATGTTTCACTGCTCCAGAATTTTATTGTTAGAGTAAAAAAACATAATACCTTGTAAGTTTTAGCTTTTTGAAATGCACATAAATAACACTGTGCAACACCAAAAATCAAACTGCACCGGACTATTTTTTTCTGAAAATATACCTATCCAATAGCAAAACCCTCGCTGGGTTTGTAAAAGTTAGCTCGATTTATTTTTTATGGCCGTTTGTATTTTCTAGCTTCATATACCCTAATTTAGACTTATTAATCGATTTTTTTCGCGTATATTCAACAAAGAAACCCATTTTATGAACAACCTATATCCCAAAACCCAATTTTTGGGACCAAATATTGGAAAAATTATTTTTTTTTCAATTTTTAGATAATATTTAAAATTTCTTGCTACTTCTTCTGGCAAAAATGTTGTCAAGTATACTAAAAGAAGTCATTTATAAAATACGCACACAAAACTGAACTTTAAGTTTACTTATTTGCTGGAAAACAATTTTTAAACAAATTTTCCAAAATATTCATTATTTCATACTCAACACCAAATTTATAAAATAGAATTGTAGAAAAGTACAGAGAGTTTGATTTTTTATTTTGTATTAATTTTATTATTAAAAAAGTTTATATCAAAACATTGAGTAATCTGATTCATTGCTGGAGAATTCCATCCCTTCCACTTCTTCTCCTTTATTTTCTTGTTCTTCATTTTCATTTTTTGATTCATCACTGGAGAATTCCATCCCTTCATTTTATATTCATTTCATTTCAGGCGTTTTAAATGGTCCTGATATTCGGAAATTGGTAAAGTATGAAGACTTTGACAGAGAGGTATCATCTGTACTTTTCTACAATTCTATTTTATCTATTCAATTTTTTCCTACAGATTTTTTGGCAAAATATTTGGTGTGAAAAGTGTGAAAAGATGAATATTTTGAAAAATCTTGTTTAAACATTATTTTCCAGCAAATAAGCAAACTTAAAGTTCAGTTTTAGTATACTTTACAACATTTTTGCCAGAAGAAGTAGCAAGAAATTTTAAATATTATCAAAAAAATTTAAAAAAAAATATTTTTAAATATTTGGTCCCAAAAATTGGGTTTTTGGGATAAAGGTTGTTCACAAAATGGGTTTATTTGTGCAGTATCTACATTTCTACAAAAAATCTTGACGATATAAGTCGAATATATGCGAAAAAAATTTATTTATAGGTCTAAATTGGGGTATAGAAAGCTCGAAAATACAAACGTCCACAAAAAAATAAATCGAGCTAACTTTTACAAACCCAGCGAGGGTTTTGCTATTGGATAGGTATATTTTCAGAAAAAAATGGTCCGGTGCGGTTTGATTTCGATGACCCGAAAATTGTCGCACAGTGTAATTGATACCTACCTTTAAAAAAACCACAAAATTCACTTTAATTTTCCGTTCAACATAAAAATGGCTCAATTGAGAAAAATGTGTGATAATTTGGATAACATTTTGAAACTAAAACTAAAACGCTCCAATAAAACAAACACAAATATTTTAAAAACATTTTTTTATTGTATTTATTCATCATTAATGGCTTCCCCTGTATCTGTAACTTCCATTCTTAAATCTTCTGTTGGTCCTTCAGTTTGATGTGGTGAATCTTCATTTTCCTGGGGTTCTTCAATCGGAACGGGTTCTTCCATTGGAAGGGGTTCCTCCATTGGAACGGGTTCTTCTGATGGATTAGATTCTTCAGGTTTAACGGGTTCGTCTTCAATTGGTTCATCCTGGATTGGGGTTGGAAAAACTTTTCCTTCTGCTTCATCTTCGCTGTCGGTATCGCGATCTTCACCGGGATGAGTTGATATGAAAGTTTCGTGCGATTTTGTCGCTACTGTCCCTGGTTTTTCCCAAGTTTTTTGACTTTGCTAAAAAAATAACAATCATAAGAAATTCTTTAAATTGTAATGTTACTTGTAAAACTACATACCTCATAATACTGTTTTATTTGTTTCTGACTTTCCATGTAGTATTTATAAACAAAGTTAGCCATATGCGTCATATCCTGCACCTCCATGGGTTTTTGTGGTAAATGATTATTTAGTCTATTTGTTGGGTGTAGTTCATTAACAACTACTTGTAGTTTTGTTGGCCTTTCCGTCAACTAAATAAAACAAAATAACAACACATTAAAACCATAAAAATATATATTTTGTCTACTTTTTTACCTGTTTGAATGCTGGTGTCAACTCGAAACAATTTTGGAAAAGTGATACCCTAGCGAAAATGTAAAGACCCAAACGGGCTCTTGACATGGCCACCACTAGACGTCTTACATCTCTTAAATGACCCACTGCTTTAGTACGTACTAAAGACAGTAAAATATAGTCGTTTTGTTGACCCTGGTACTTATCAACTGTGGTCACCTAAAAATTAATTTGTAGAAAAATACGCAAAAATTACACTGGTTCACAAAGTAATAAAGAAGAAATAAACATTCGATCCCTATTTTTTCCAATGTAATTTAACCTGCTAAACTCGAAAATCACAATACTTTTTCTTTTATGCCAAGGTCTTTGAATTATGATTTTTTTTTCATTTGATTTTTCAAAAGCAGCTTTACAGTTTGGGTCATATATAAATCGCCGACAAATATCACTCTCTAAATGCCCAATCAGTAGTTGAGTAGTTGAAGTACAATGGGTTCGAATATTGAAAAAAAATCTTTTTTTTAACAAAAATAAGAATGCTACATTTACCTCTCGCTTAGAATAAATACAAATCATCGTAATAGGACCGGTTTTAAAGTTGACCACTCTTTATGAAAAAGTTGAATAGGTAAAAATCAGAGTTTAAAACTTTCTCTTAAAAACTAAAAAGTCGGAAAATGTCAGAATAGGACTTATTAAGTCGGAAAAGACTTTCAGCAGAGAAATGGTATATAGCGATAAAAATAAATATCCGGAATTATTCAGAAAGGTTGTATTTGGATATTGTAAAATAAAACACGAAAAGTATTTATTTACTCCTGTTGTATAATATAGAAATTTTCCGTCAATAAACATTGTGTAAACAATGTCCTGAACTGAACTCATTATTCACGTTGTTAGGCATTAGTGATTGGTCGATTTCAATATTCACTGTTATTTGAATCAATCGGGTTTTAAATTGGGCTGAGACGGCCAAGTCTGTGTCAGAATTACAAACTGCATTGTAAAGTTACTGCCGTCTTACATATAGAAAACAAAGGTATGAAACTGAATTTATTGGAGTCCTTGGAAATTGACAAATTAAAGAAAACTGATATTATTCTCAATGACCAAATAGAAACCAATAATTCCCCGCTATTAAACTTATTTTAATAAATTCAAAAAGTAAAGTGTATAACTACACTCACAGGCAAAATAATCGATCCACACAAATTTTCGATGAATTTCAATCGCAAATAACTTTTTTATTTGATGTCGGATTTAAACGAATATTAAAGAATAATGTAGGTAAATTAATGGACAATCGCTCACATTTTAAAAAATTACTAAAAAATAGACGTAGGTACGTTTATAATATACAGGTTTAAACAAAAATATGTTTTTTACCATATGTTTAAGACACTCTGTAGAGTGGCAAAACCGTATATTGTTCTAAATTAACTTTTGTTTATCAAGTCACATCTATTCTTAACAGTTTTGTTTTTGGTTCACCTCGATATATTTATTTTTGTGGCAAATATGGATTAAAAAAAAAACATTGCAATTTCCAATATTTTTCTGTATGAAGAACTAAGGTTGCTATGGTCCATCCATAGGCTATGGAGAATGACAGTGACAGTTTTGTTGAATCATCCCATACTTTGACATGTCATACACGGCTTTCAAAAGCTATCAAATTGTTTTTTGCAAATTAATGTTTAAATTTTGAGGTGTCAAAATTTTCAATTGTTTTTCAAAATGTGAATATTAAACAATAAATCCTGAAAATTTCATTAAAATATCTCCAACGGTTTTTCTGTTATCTATTTTTTAATTAAAAGTCTCTAAAATTTTCATTGTAAAAAAAATTGTTCTTAAAAAGAAAATTTTAAAAAACTGTTTTAGGGTTTCACTATTGAAGGTGACTGCTTTATATTAAAATATATTAATTTAAATTCCAGGATCAAGTGGGAAATGGGGGGTCCACTTGACGTGATCTTACTCATATGGAAACGTTTTGTGCAGTGGGTTTGGGTAATATTTTTTCACGCGTATAATAATTTTTATATTATAACAAACAAAAGTCTATATAGAGAGACTTCATATTAATACTAGTTTAAAAGACAAATTATTATACACTTCAGTACAAAAATAGTGAAATTCAAGGTAACTAAACAAAAAATAAACAAAAGTTTGACTTACTTTATGTGGACGTCCTATTAAGGGGTTATTCGCACATCTTGTGTTGATAACATCACGAATCAAATGTTTTTGACCATTGTATGTAGTTAAAATGGTGATTTTATTTGCAGCATATCCTAAGAGTCTCATAAACATAAATACTGCTACACAGTATTCAGCTTCAGCGAGATTCTAAAAAATAAATTGTAATTTATGATAATCAATTAAATTTTGTCATTTTACCTGGTAAAAGTATGGGCTTGGTTCTGATTCCCCGACACCATTGAAATCTTGAACATCAATTAATTGAAAATCGTAAGCAAATCCAGAATTGGCCCGAAGATATTCTTGCCATGTTTCAACGTGTTTAAGATTGCCCAAGTTTTTGTACCTCCATTTGTATAAATTACATATGCTATGATAACAAGTTTTAAGTAAATTTATATAAAAGTAAAAATATCTATAAAAAATAACACTAGTTTACAGCCATTTTGCCCACCATGTCTCACTATGATTTTCTTGTGTAGTTTGGCTTACTAAACGCGAAAATCACACTTAAAATTTTTTTCATGGAAGCGTTTTCGAGATATGAATTTTCAATTGTTTTTTTTAATTTTCTGAGGTGTTTTGACGTTATGGAGTATACTTCGAGTTCTAATTGCTCGATTTGACCAAACAAGCACTTTAATCAAAGGTAATTGAGCCCTCAACAACTTTCTCTGGTATGGTTTTGGTATCGGCTCAGTAGTTCGATACTGGCGATTTTATGAAGTTGAAAAAGTTCTTTTTTTTTTACAAAAATCGAGGTCGAAAATTTACATATCTTTCTGGGAAGGATAGAAATCGAAAAGATAATTCCAGTTTGATTTATTTTACGTATAGATTATACTTAAAGGAAAAAAATAAGCTGCTGTTTATAAAAATCCATGGATGGCGAAGTTATGAATTTTTCAGTGGAAGACCAAAATTCAGTTTTTCGAGAATTTTTACGTTTTTTTTCATGTTATTAAATTATTTAAAATTTAATATTTAACATTGCTTTTTATTTTAAACATTAAATATTAAAATTAAATTATATATTGAATATTAAACAATAAATATTGAACATTGAAGAAATTTAAAGTTTTATTTTGTTGCATAGGTTTAAAAAAATTCTGGGTCATTTGTTTTTTGTTGCTTTCGTATTCCGTTTCTCGTATGAGGGACCAAATGTAATCACCCATCAAGGCTGCATCCCAGAAGCCGTGATATCGCCGCTCCATAGCCTTCATTTGCTGGTGAAAACGTTCTCCCAGATTGTGCGGGTTATTTACGCACTCGAACTCTCTACTTCTTTTACTCATTTACACTTTCTATTAACTAAATAAAATCATGATAAAAATACCTTGTTGAAATATCAGTAAAATGTCACTATGCCAACACGAGAAACAAAAGAATTCACGTTTGCCGAGTCATGTCAAATTTAAATTTTGAATAATATTTTCTGTGAAAAAAGCACGTAAAAACTCAAAAAATTTCAATCATGCACTTTATTTAGGTTTTCATTAAAGAATAAACATATTACAAAATAAAAGAAAAAAAATAAAATAAAGATCGTCAAAAAGCTGAATTTTGGGCACTAAAAAATTCATAACTTCGCCATTTTCCATGTATTTTTATCAACATTAGCTTGTTTTTTTGTAGAAATGTGAACTTCACGAAAAAAAATTCAAACTGAAGTTATCCTTTCCCAGGACGATATGTAAATTTATGACCTCAATTTTTGCCATAAAAACGAATTTTTTAAGTTATTAAAATCGCTAGTGTCAAAATACTTATCCGATATCAAAAGTATTTTAGAGGGCTCAAATACCTTCAATTGAAGGGCTTGTTTGACCAAATCGATTAATTAAATTTCAAGCTATACTCAAAAACGTCAAAACAACTTGGAAAATTGAAAAAATAAATAAAAATTCATATTTCAACGCTTCCATAAAAAAAATGAAGTGTGATTTTCGTGTTTAGAGGGTCAAAATACATGGGAAAATTATAATGGGATATGGTGGGCAGAATTTTTGTTCGATTTTGTAAACTAGTGTAATATAACTAGACCAGTGCAGGTAAAAAGAGAAAAAAAATAACAGTAGGATGAAACCCATTGGAAAAGGAGGGGAATATAATAAAAATTAAAGGAAAAATAAATTACGGGCGATCTGAGTTCGGGAAGTGGGAGGGGGGGGGGGGGTTTAAGGGTAAAAAATGGTTTATCTCGATTTCCGGCAAAACTACAAGTCCTATGGAAAAAAGTTAAATGTCAAAGTTGTAGGTAATAAAAAGATCTACAACTTTTGTATTTACAATTTTTTCACATAACCTCAAAATTTACGTGAAAAATTCAAAAAAACAAATTTTTGGTTTTTTATTTTTATCTTTTTAAAAAAAAAAAATTTTTTTCACGAAATTTGGTGAAAACTTACCTTTTTATGTCCCAAATACACTGTAATTTATTTGATTTGAAATATTTATTATGTCGCCTTATTCTGACTTAATATCAAAAAAGCACCCTAATTTTCAATCGAAAATTCTCGCGTCAAAATATCAGCTTTTTTGAAAAAGTCGGTGTGCTTTTTGTTCGATGAACTCTCTACTTTCTGATGGTGTAAAAAAAATATACATTACTATGGTAAATGTTCTCAGAAAATACAAAAAGTATTATAATGAATAACGTAATCAGAATGAAGTATCTAAATTCAATAGTATGATTTACATGTACATGTATTTTTAAATTTTATGAGATTTTCTGACATAATGTTATAAGAATTTAATAAATAAACTTTTTAACTAAAAAAAATTGCAACAATCACATTTTTTTGATGAAATTGTACATAATGATTAAAATAAATTTTCGAATTCGAGTTTTTTTCGTTATTCATTATAATATTTTTTGCATTTTCTGAGAACATTTACCATAGTAATGTATATTTTTTACACCATCAGAAAGTAGAGATTTCAACGAACAAAAAGCACACCGACTTTTTGAAAAAAGCTGATATTTTGACGCGAGAATTTTCGATTGAAAATTAGGGTGCTTTTTTGATAATAAATAAATTACAGTGTATTTGGGACATAAAAAGGTAAGTTTTCACAAAATTTCGTGGAAAAAAATGTTTTTTTGAAAAAGATAAAATTAAAAAACCAAAAACTTGGTTTTTTGAATTTTTCACATAAATTTTGAGGTTATGTAAAAAAATTATAATTACAAAAGTTGTAGATCCTTTTATTACCTACAACTTTGCCATTTAACTTTTTTCCATAGGACTTGTAGTTTTGCCGGAAATCGAGATAAACCATTTTTTACTCTTAAAACCCCCCCCCCCTTCCACTTCCCGAAGTCAGATCGCCCGTAATTTATTTTTCCTTTCATTTTTATTATATTCTTCTCCTTTTCCAATGGGTTTCATCCTACTGTTTTTTTTTTTGGTTTCAAAAATTATCGACCCTGGTCTAAACGAGGAAGTTAAAAGGATGATACCAACCTTGGTCTAGCTCTTCCCTGTCCGTCTAAATCGACTGTGGGGACGCCTAGCCGCACCAACCTGGTGAACAAGCTCTGCTCCATGTTGGAATACTTCTGGAACGCCATGTTTTTGATCACAGGCGGCAACTGGTGATGATCACCGATCATGATCCATCGTTTCAACCTGTTGTAACCATCTTGAGGATTCTGCAGCAGCAGCGGAATGAACGTTTCGATCTCCAAGATTTGCGCGGATTCCTCCATCAGGATGTTGTCGTATTTGAAACCGATTTCGACGAGTTCTTTACGTTTCAAGGCGGCGTGCGTGCAAGTCATCGCGATTATTTTCGCCTCTTTTACCAAGAGGTATTTGGATCTGTCTAGACCAGATCTAAGCAGTTCAAATGCTCTGAACTCTTCCAGTTCCTTAAAGATGTGGTCTATGAATCTAAAGCAACTTTCGGCTACTTCTAAATCGTCCTCAAATGAAACTCCTTTGAAGAGGGGTTGAGGTGCATCCTGGAAGAACTGATGGAACGGAAACTCATCTGCTATAGTTTTAATCGCGACTTCTTTTCCAGTCTTTGGTCTAACAACGCTTTGGAAATGCTCCCATCTGGATAAAATCTGGTAGAGATAAAAATGGCCGGCGGTCTCGCATGTATAAGCAACGTCACCGTCAACTTTCAACGACTCTTGTAACTTTTGCACTTGCACCAACAAGTCTAAGCGTTTCGCCAAAACATAGTTCACTCTCCCGTACCTACTGAAATCTTTTTCCGTCTCCAACGCCTCTTCTCCGTGCCCCAAACGCAGCAAGTGTCTCTCGTCAATGTCCAAAGCTACGATTTTGTCGAAAAGCTGATTCAAAGCTTGATTGGAGTGCGTTACGATCAGCGTGCGTTGGTTGGGGTAGTTGTGGTAGATGTTGGAGATAATTTGGACGGCCACGTCGGTTTTACCGGTACCGGGCGGGCCCACGACGAGAGTAAGGCCCGGTTGCATGCCGGATTTTATAGCCTCCACCTGGGTGGGAGTGAAATGGATCATGTTTCTAAAAAGAAAAAAATGAAGATGTACGCGTTTTTGTTTAACAAGAATAAACGTTTTATAATTGTTTCGTTTAAGTATAAAATAATATAATCAATGAGCAGAGATGACTGATAATAGTAATTTATGCAACAAGAATATAACTGTTTTGCACGTATGCGGAACTTTTATAACGAGCTGGAGGCGAGTTTTAAAACCACCATATCACCAATCAAGATACATACACCTTAAAGGCATGTAGGGCGGGGCTAATTTAGCGGGAACGACGTCACTCGTTGAGCTATTTTTAAAACGTTCGCTAAGGTGGATGTAACGTGCGTTTTATTTATCTAGTGCTAAACTTTTGGTTTTTGCCACAGACCACTAAAACAAATGGGCGGATTTGTTTACGTTTAAAAAGCGAGTAAAGCACATTCTAAACACCGTCGAAAAAAAACACGGCTTCCAACGTTGTCATAAGTATAGATTACACGCCTTTTTGGACGTTCATCATAACATAATGAATATTAAAAATTACCAGTAATTCATTTGAATAATAAAAAAATTGTAAAAAGGATTTGTTCATCATTTTCTTTAGAGATTAATCATTTAATAATTATTAAAATTAAATATTAACAACGTTGGTAAATTCGTTATATTTGCGTGTGGTTGACAGCATAGAAAAAGGTTGACAGATTGTTGTTTTGTGTTTTCGTTTGTGTATTTCTATCGTGTTTAGGTAAATTATTGAGTTTAAATACATTATTTTTTACTAAAAATGGTGCGACAGTGTAGTTTGTAAAAAAACAAACCAAAGAAATCCAAATCTATCCTTTCATAGGTAAGTAATCACAATTAAATTAAACTATTTTTAAATTATCCATATTTAACACCACGGCACTGGTTGCGCCGACCATTTGTTTTGGTGGTCTGTGGTTTTTGCGTTGTTGGTTGTTAACTTGCTGTTTTTGAGCTTTAAATTATTGTTATTGCTTTGTATTAACCTGTTCTGTTTGTGGAAAACTTATTGTTTTTGTGTTGCGTTTACTTGTTTTGATTGTGTTTGTGTTGTGCCATTTGCATTTAATAAAATGCGGTGTGCTATATTTGAATCCAATAAATTTTATTAATTATTAATAAAATGTAAACAAAAGTTTATAAAAACAAATGAAAAGGGAAAAAGTCAATTGTACAAATTTTTATATTGGCGGTTACAAGGTTGTTGCAGCATAACATTCAATTACTAGTGCTGCCCCCTACATTGTTGCAGTGATTCAATTATACAATTGGTCACAATTTTTGTATTTTTTAAATAAAAATAATAAATTAATTAAAATGGTATTTTTTTTCAAAATAAAAAATAAACTTAAAATATTGAGTTAATTACGGAAAATACACTGTGAGACAAAGTTACCCGCAACCAGGGGGTAACTTTGCACACCCAGTTTTTAACTTTTATTTTTGAAACTCAGCCCTATGTAATATTATAACATAGTTATTATGAAAGAGCAACTCAAGACTTAAATTTTGGTACACAATATTTAATGTGCATGATTGTTAAAACCGCAAAAATTTTAAGCTTAAGTTTGAAAGTGAGCTAAAGCCACCCGTGTTCACGGTACATAAAGTTTAAACCCCTCCGCGCTCTTTTAAAAATTTCATTTAAAATTTTTTATACATATTAACAAAAGGTTTAAAATACATTAACACAAAAATAAAATTTTACAGGAATTTATGAAAATTTTTCAGGAATTTTCGTACTATAATTTAAGATTGTAATAAATATTTTTGGTTTAAATTAATGTATTTTCTTTTAATAATAAAAAAATATATTTAAATAGTAATTAATATTTTTCAAAGCATCCAGCATCTAGGAATATTATTAACAAATATTGTAATAAATACTTTTGGTTAAATTCAAATAGTATCAAATATTTTTCCAAAGCATCTAGCATCCATATTATTAACACTTTCTTTAATATAAAGTTAAAAAAAACGTCCATATATTTCTTACCATAATAATTTCATAAATAATAACAAAAATAATTTCATAAATAATAAAAAATAATAACAAAAAATGTGAAGACAAAATTTTGACAAAATTATTTTATTTTGACATGCATGTCAAATCTTTTTTTAAATTTATTTACGTCCTTAATGAATCCATTGTAATGTAAGTACTAATATTAATTACAATAAATATTAAACAAATTTAACACATAACATTTATGTGTTATAGTATAGTAGTTTATATAGTAGTTTAAGCACGAGCGTAGCGATAAACTAAAAATGCATGTCGAAATAAAATAATTGTAAATGTCAACATTTTTCTTCAAAATTTTTAGTAATTATTTATGAAATTATTATGGTATTAGGAAAAATAATATATGCAACTTTTGATTATTACGGACGCTACAAAAATTGAGGAGTAACGTGGAATGGCTGTTTATATTCTTATTGCATAAATTACTATTTCTACGATGAACACAAAAATTAAATAATTTTTAAAAATAAGTAAATAAAATCTGACATCTGCCATCTGCCACTTTCTAAAGAAAAACTTTGACGATTGTATGATATTTGAAAACTGTCAAGTTAACAGTGACAACTAACTTAAAACTAACAGCTTGTAACTAAAAAGCTCCAAAGGCACTGTTGTTAACTTCCGTGACTAAAATGCCATAAACTCAAAGCTCAATAAAAATGTTAGCTACAATATTTATTATTCAAGGTGACCACTGAAAAAAACATTTTATGAAGAAAATCATGAAAAAAGTAGCAAAGTAGTCATAGAAATAAGGAGCAAAAAAACCTCACGCAACCCTAAAATCTCCGTCACTGGCATATGAAAATAATTGAATTGGGGATCAAAAAGTAGCTAATATCTGTAAAAACAGTGCATTTGGGGACCCATGTTAATATGAACTTTTTTCTTAGAATTAGCTCACATCATTTCATTTTTATTAGGATGTTTGGGGGTGTGACTCCCCCTACCAGACTGGTAGTACCAGTGGCGTAAAAGGTTTATAGTAAACATATAAATAATTTAAATTTAATTTAATTATTAAGGAAAACTTGCGTGTGTCCAGCAGCCATAAGAACTTAAGGCACAAAACAAGATAAAGTTTAATAAAATTGTCCCGGATTTTTACTCTCAGGTGTTGATCACCTTGTATTATTTGTAAATGTAAACATAATTATGGAAAAATATTTTCTAAAAAAAATGCTTGTATTGTTATGATGTGATATGACTAATTTACTATGCAAATAAATGATTCAAACAAAATTTATAACGAAAATGTTTATTTTTATTTTTTATTTTTTTAGATTTATTATCTTTCATTTACTCAAAAATAAAATTGGGTTGTTCAAATATTTATTGAATTTAATTCGAATTCCAACTATTTGCGAAAAATAAAAAAATCTTAGAACAAGTACCTATTAAAAAGTTTATCTATAACAGTAGAATAAATATTAAACAATATAAAACTAGGCATTCATTTTCAATTGTTTTTTTGTGTTATTCATCGAAAAGAAACTGTATTAAGTCCAATTTTTTAAAATCACGTTATATATTTTTGACTACGTTTTTTTACTCTTTCCAATGGTAAATATTGGAAAGAGCGAAAAAATGTGGCAAACATTTTTTAAGCTGATTTTAAAAAAGTGGTCTATATACAGTTTGGCTCTGGGGCTCAAGGTCTATCAAATGTCGTTGTTCGGGAATTTCCCAAGAAATTCGTAATTAATATGATTTCGGGTAATCCTGTGACATCCTAATTTAATACAGATAAATATACAGGGTTTTCTATGGTCACCGGATTCTAAAAAGTTTTTTTCACTACTTATACCACAAGAGGTTAAATTATTTCCGGATTTTTTTTCGAGCTCATGAATATTTTGAAAATTATCAAAGACGAGCAATAATTTTCTAAAAATATTTATGAGCGAGAAAAAAGTTTAGGATTTAATTTAACCTCGCGCGGTCTTCGGTAAGAAAATTTCGTACCAAATTGTGTTTAAAATAAAATCATTTTAAAATTATATTTTTTGACTTTTAACAGTGACTACTTTTTTCTTTAACAAGGCACCACCATGATTTCTACTTATTGACGTTGAACGGAAATTCCATTTTAAGACTTAACATAGTACATTCTTAAATTTTATATAAACTTTGAGTTACTACAAGTGGAAAAAAATTGCTTTTTTGCGTTTTTATTTAATTTTTATTTGTACACTTTGTGTTCATCGTAATAAAGGCAGTTGTTGATCATATTTTGAAAGTTCAAAACGTAAGCAAAAACTCGTGTTTTGTAGTAAATAGAAAATTATGCTGTATGAAAATTATGCACAAAATTGTCCGATGTTAATAATCAATCATCGTGCCATGTCATATTTAGCCTCACTAAAGATTGTGGTTGCCATTTGAAGGAAGAAATTTTGATTCGAATTTTTCAGGAATATTTGCTTTTAAATTATTTAAAATTGAAAGTACTTAAAGGAAAAATGATAAATAAAAGGGTGCCTAAATATTATATAAATATATTTTATCAGACAGATATTTAATTGAGTCTATTCCAAGTCCAGCTTTTTCTGTGATTCTGTGATTATGTCAAAAAATTTCCGATTTAATTTGCTCTTGAAAAAAAATCACAAATAACATGTGTTGCCATGGTAACCTGTCAAAAAACCCATTTTGATTGGTTAAAAAGTACTGGTGTGGAATTTTACTAACCAATTTTTAAAATAACCAAAAAATAAGTAGCAGTCAATCAGCCTTATTTTCATCTGCACAAAATATAAGAAATACTTGTGTCGCGCGATACCTATGTTCAGTTTTGGTAAACAAAAAAACAATGTTTTTTGTTAACAAATTACAAGAAAATATCAAAAAATAAAATCCAAGATATAAATTTGTGTTAAAAAACCAAAATAAAATTAAAAATGTTAAAATATCCCATAAAACCCAATAACAAGCCAAACCATATACCTATAAACACTATAAATAAAAAGTAAGGTAAACTTGAAATTCCATATACAACTTTTATTAAACTGAAAGAAAAAACCAATTTAAATACAAAATCTATAAATCAATTTATATGCAGATTTAACCTTGTCTTTATATTTTCCAACTCAAAAATACAAAAAGGTTTTTCAAAATGTATTATTTTTATAAAAAAAAATAAATCAAGATGCATGCCACGGTGCTCCTGAGGCGATTTAAATAAAATTTTGATGACACTCCAAAATTCAAGTTTTATATTGTTCTTTAATGTATTTAGAATATATCTCAACAGTTTTGAAAATCAGTTTACGTGATCGTTTTTTTTTTAAATGGGTTTGAATAAAAAAGTCATGTTTTCGGGGATAAACAAATATTTAATGCAATAAATACATAAAACAAGGAAAATTTGCGTCACTTTTTTTAAATTACAAATAAATTATAGGTATTTATAAAAGTAATTCTTGTTAAAATAATAAAACTTTCGAACGTAACAGTAGTTTTAGACTTTTAGCGCTACTGTAATATAGCTATAATTATAAACGGTTTATAATAAACCTATATAAACTTTAAACATAACACTATAAAATTTAATATAAAAACGATATGGAAAATATGTCATATGCTTATAAATGTAAACTATTATAGCTACATACAGCTCGATGTAGTTTTGGCCAATAATTCTCGCTGAGTTCCGGCACTTTATAATTTTGTAATTTCAAATTAAAATCATGGTGAACTGATTCTGTACCTTGTTCTGCGAAAAATCCTAATCCCACTTGATGCTTGGAACAAAATTGCACAACATGATAGAAAATTGTATGCAATTTTGGCGTCACAGTTATCTTTAAATATTCGTAGCTTTCTTTAAATTCTTTAACATGTTCCTTTAAATTTGGATGTAAAGTCAGTGAAAAACAACTGTTAACTACTACTCCGAACTTTCTAAATGTATCAACATAATCCATGCCTTTATAAAACTGACGAACTTGGCATATCTCTTGTAGTTTGTCGACATTCTTGAGCAATAATTTACATGAGTTTCCCTCGAAAGAAAATTTACCACCATTAGTATACTTTTTTTCAACATTACATTGTTGAGCCCATTTTTTAGCAATATCAGGATTACATTCATGTAAATGAGTATAAAGTTTGTTAACGCAACCTAGTAAAAGGTGCAGCTCTGGGGGGGGCATAACATCTAGAATCAATATATCATCGCCAGAACAATACAAGGGAGGGTGAATGCAATTTTTAAAGTATTTAGCATTCTTTTTGACACTTCCTTTATTGTACCAGTTGTTATAATTTTGAAGACAGCTTTCGGTCGTTCTTAAATTACCACACGAAGCTAAATTATCTTTGCTAACATCACACCAAATACACGGATAATAACTTGCATTACTTGACAAACCAGTAATTATGTTTGAAAGTTTCAAATCAGTTGTTATTGTTGCGGGATATTCATTTAAACATTCATTTATTTTCAACTTTGACCAAATATTTGCAACATTATTGTAATTTTCTTGAATATTGGGAGCAAGAGCAATAATAAATATCTTTTTTACTCCGGTGTCCTTCCACTTGTTAATAATTTTTAATGTCTCATTTTTTGATTGAACAGATACAGTAAATTTCAAAGACTCCCCGCCACCGTCAATACCGAAATTCAAGTGAAAATTAAAAATATCTCGTATTTCCATGACATGTTGAATGAATAACATTAAATTAATACACATAACAGCAGAGCTTGGATTTTTAGAAACTACTCCTTTTTTTGTAGCTTCGAAGTCAAAAGAATGAACAGCAAAAAATTCGTCTAATTTGTGGGAATTTTTTACCACTTTTTCACGACAGTGAGGTTCAATAACACTTTTTAGAGTGGTCTTTTCTCTAATAAATTTGGAAAATTTAAGTACATGTCGATCAGAAACATTCAAATCGCTCTGTAGTTCACAAAAATCATCAAAAGAAATCTGACGTACTTGATTTTTTTCTTTTGGATTAACTGTAACATTTAGTGAGTTACCATGCTGCTGCGAGAGGGATAATTCAATGTTTGTATTTCCAGCTTGCGCTTTTGGATTTAATTTCTTCTTCATAATTATTTGTTTTTTTAATAATCGAGAAGTCAAATGTTCAGTTTCTTTTTCATTGTTCAAATTTTGTTGAACATTATTGATCAATCTGGTTGAGTTGCATTTGTGACTAATGCGTCTACCTATCAAAGTTAAACACTTCGAGCATATCCTTTTGGAATCTTTTGATTTTTTTTTCTTATTAGCATTCAAAGCGTCACAATTTCCTTGTTTTGCTCTTATTTCATCACATAAAGTACACTCACATTCATACCCAGAATTTGATGCACGAGTTTTCATGTTATCGCGATACTTCGAATAATCTGGCATTTTAAAAGCGCTCCGTAAATCTGGATTTGCACTAGCTCTTTTAATTCCCAATCGGCATGCATTGCGAACTGCAGCTGGTAATCTTGAATCTCCTATATCGAAATCGGGAAACAATGTTTTTATTCCACTTCCTATGCTGCCTGTAGTTTTAAAATACTGATTTTTGGGTTTTTTCTTACAAATCAAACATATGCTAAGGCGATTTTGTTCGTGAGTTCTGGAAAATTTATGCAATAAATCCATGATATAATTATATATATTATTATAATATTCTATAATATTCAAATGATAACGAAAAACTAGACTCAACTTTGCAAGAAATCAAGCAATTCTAAATATTGACAAGTACTTGTCAATATTAACCCATAGTTATTATTCTTACTTATAACCATGACGACATAAAAATAAAGTTTGTGAGATTTGATAAAAATATATAATTTGAATTTAATTTGAATTAGTGACGCAAATGTCCTTGTTTTTTTGTATTTATTGCATTAAATATTTGTTTATCCCCGGAAACAGGACTTTTTCATTCAAACCCATTTAAAAAAAAATTGATTACGTAAACTGATTTTAAAAACTGTTGGTATATATTCTAAATACATTAAAGGACAATATAAAACTTGAATTTTGAAGTGTCATCAACATTTTATTTAAATCGCCTCGGGAGCACCGTGATGCAAGAAGAGGAGTAATTCTCGACCAGAAGGCATTATATGTTACCCAGATGCGCAAAATGCTCACCGCGCATTCATGTCAATTAAATAGTACCGTGTGCGCACGAGGATTTTGCGCATCTGTAGATTACTGTTACACTACCCACTGATAGAGATGCGACTTGAAAGAAAACGGTCCGGTTTTTTTTCAGGTTTTTTTTCATTGTTTTTTTACAAATGGTTTTTTTCATACTTTCGTTTTTTTTTCAAGATTAGTCCCATTTGCCTAATTTTTTATGTTTCCAGTCCAGTTCATGGGCTAAAATTAGCCATTAATTGACATTTAGTAAATGTAAATACACTCTCGCGCTATGCACGCACCACAACCACCGAATTGACCAATAAGGGCCGCGCTTGTTTTGATTTGGTCCTATAATATTTTTGATTCAGCGCTTGATTTTTCAAAAAGCTACCAAAAGCACTTTTTTCATGATTGTTCAAATTCATGTAGAGTATTCAAAAAAACAATAGCAAATTCTTGTAGAACATTTATTCATTGGTGGTTAAGTCAGAACATTCCGTGGACCAAAAGCCAAAAAAATTTCGAATTTTTTTATTACGGTATTTGTTAGGATTGAGCTCTGCACGTTTTGGAATTTTTTTATCCTTTAATTTTTTCTATTATTGTGGAAGTTTTACATTGCTATTGGTTTCTTACATGGAAACTACCAAATAATAAGAAATCAGATTTTTTTAGTCTCGGTCAAAATTTTCAATAATGAAAAATTTATTATATTCTTTCACTTTATTATTAATATACATTTTACTCAAAATTTCATTTTGAAAAATTCTTTAAGATTGATGTTATTTATTGACAGAATATGCTTTATTGTAGCGGATTAAAAAAAAACAAAAAAAAACGTTTTTTTTAGGTTTTTTTTCATGTTTTTTTTTCACATCTGAAAAAAAACCGTTTATTACATCTCTACCCACTGATGATCAAGTTACTTCTCCTCTTGGATAAATGATATAATTCTATTATAAGATTAGGTGTCTAACAAAAAAAATAACAAATAACAAATGTATTTAAATTTTTTTTTAACATGTAAAGCAGAATTCTTTCCATGTATCCCGTGATATTTATTTTAATAAGACCCTTCTACACTTAAATACCTTCCGAGCATTTTGATTGGTAGGGACATGTGCAGTTGTAAAATCCCTACCATATTCTAGTACTGCGGTATGACAGTGTAAATATTTGGTGGGAACAAGTATATTATAATTGAGATAAACAAAATCCACTTACTTCTTAGGTTCGTTAAACAAATACGGGCCTCTTCTGGGTATGGTGTGCGGCTCTACCACGATAACCTTCTTCTTTTCCTGCTCCTCCTCCTCCTCATCCTGGCCCAAATCCTTAAACGTCAACTTGAACGGCCTCGTCAACTTCCGCGGGTCGTCGGTCTTGACGGCGATCTCGTAGCCGGGAAAGCACGAGCGCAGGTGCGCCATATCGATGAACGTGTCGTTAAAGTCCATCGTGGCGATCTGGTTGTGCATTTTGCTGTAGTGGGCGGCGCTCGGGTCGCCGTAGCCGAGTATGATGTCGTGCAGCCAATCGGGCACGACGCACTCGGTGTTCATTAGCTCGCGGATCGTTTCAAGGACGGCTTTGAAGTTGTTTTCTTTCGGCTTTCTGCGCATGAGCACGTTGAAACCTGACGAAGACGAGGTCAAATTAATAAACAAAAATTTGACACCTAATATCGGTAACACCCCAGGTAGCACACTGACGTTTGCTGACGTTTATATGACGTCTTCTGACATTTAAATGACGTTAGCAACGTCATATAAACGTCAGCAGACGTCAGTGTGCTACCTGGGACAGTTAAACACGATTTTTCTTCCAGGAAAAATTTTAACAGATTTTATTAATAAAGGTTAAAGGTCATTTAAATTTTTTATACAGCCATTCTTATAATTTTTACAGATTTTTAATTCTATATTTTGTTATAAATCATTTTTTCCCCAAATATTGTATGTTTTGATTAGGGATTGCAAATTTACCGAATTTTAATTTACCGGTAATTCGGTAAATTATTTAAAAAATTACCGGTTTACCGGTTTTTACCGACTTAAAAAATAAAAAAGAAAAAAGCAACAAAATAAATAACCAAACTTTAATTCTTATTAAATAATAACAACAGAAACGTAAAACTCTAGGTAAAAAAACTAATACGTGTATACCTAACTTAAAGACTAGTAACAGGCCATAAAACATTCGAAATAGTAATTTAAATAAAGAAATACCTATCGTTTCTTACTTTTCCAACGACTCTTTCGATTTCGTTTGTTTAATAAAAAGAGCCCTGAGAAAACACGGCTTATCAATACTATTATCACTTGGCCGCGACTTAATCTTAGTACAAATTGTTCCTGCCGCAGAAAAGGCTCTTTCGGACACTAGTAGTCCGAGTTGTCATGAGTACTGCGAAAGCCATTTTTAAGTATTTCCCCTGAATTCCCTCCTTCCGAAAATATTGCATTTCTGTTTTCACACATTGATGAACACTGTTAGGCGCAATCTGCTGTCTTCTAAGTGGAAGAGTTTTTACCGAAATTACCGGTAAAAGATGTAGATTTCTTCGTCGGTAATTTAAAGAACTTTTAAGGCGGTAAATCGGTAAACCGGTAAATCGGTAACCGGTAATGCAATCCCTAGTTTTGATATAAAATTTTATACTTAAAGATATACAAAATTTTATTTTTTTTTTAATAATTTTTTTTTAATAAATCAACAGATTTGCATTTATGTAGGTATCTTATATTCAATATATGTATGTTGGAAACAAATCATGGTCTTTTAGTTTAACGAGTATACATTGCTTTTAAAATTTAGTGGTATTACAACCTAAAAAACACAGGGTGTTTCGCATTCGTGGTCCATTGTAAGTTTCTGAAGAACGGAAGAAGATATCGATTTGAACTTTTTAAAGCGTTTTTTAAGTTTATTTTTTTAAAATATCCTATACCCATGGGTATAGGATATTTTAGAAAAATAAACTTATGCATACATTTTTTTCGTTAAAATTGACAAATGTGGGTCAATCAAAAAGCCTATACCTTTTTTATTAGGTTTGCGGAGAACCTAATAAAAAAGTTATAGGCTTTTTGATTGACGCACATTTGTCAATTTTAACGAAAAAAATGTATGCATAAGTTTATTTTTCTAAAATATCCTATACCCATGGGTATAGGATATTTTAGAAAAATAAACTTATGCATACATTTTTTTCGTTAAAATTGACAAATGTGCGTCAATCAAAAAGCCTATAACTTTTTTATTAGGTTTGCGGATATGGGGGTGGAATTTTTGGTTATTAACGTTTCAAGTTAGCCCAATTTTCCCTGGGTTTTCTTGGGTAATTTTTTAAAAAATGAGAAGAATTGACATAAAATCTTTCAAACAATGTTTTAATATTCCAAAAATTCCACCCCCATTTTCGCAAACCTAATAGCAAAAAAGTTATCGGCTATTTTTTATTGATGCGCATTTGTCAAATTTTAACGAAAAAAATTAATAACTCGAAAACTATTCCCTTTAGGTATAGGACATGGTATACTAATTTTACTCAGAATTTTATATACAATTTAAAAATGTAAAAATATATGGGGTGTTTTATTTAAAATAACAAAGTTCATGTCACTTCCGGTCAAACTGGAAGTGGAATTTTGTTCAAAATATTATAAAAAATAGGCTTAGTTGGATTATAAAGGATTTAAAAATTTCAAATCGATATCTTTTGCCGTTCCCCATAAACTTTCAATGGACCACGAACGTGCAGACCCCTCTTTCCCATTGGGCACTTTGGGCAAGTGCCCAGGGCCCCGGGATCGACAGGGGCCCCCTCAGATCAAATACAAAGTTATAATTTGTCAAGAAACTGAAAAATTAATTAGACAAATGTCAAATAAATTTAAATTTAAAAATAGTGCCATGTATATAAGTAATAAAGTATTGTATAATGTACAGTCAATATTTTCAAATTCTGCAATGATTGATCATATAAAGAACCAAGATATATTGGACAATCATAGAATTCTTCTGATTAAAAAAATTATTGTTATATTTTTAAGCTCCAGACTAAATTGGGAAGGTAAAAAGGCTTCTGAAAAACCAGAATATGTTAGACAAAAACTACATAAGCTAATTTTATTTAAAAATCAATAAAATATTGTTTTTCTTTATTTATTCTTTATTATTTATTTATAAAATATCCTAATCATTGGAATCATGTTTTTTAGTGTACATATTTGCATATGGTTTATTTTATGTTTGTTTTTATAACTTGTATTATTATTTATAATTTTATTGGTACCAAATATGCTTGAATTAAATTGGGGGTTTAAAAATTAATACTTGTGTTTCTTTTACCTAACTAATTTTAAAATAATGTTATATCAATGTAAGTAAATTCACAATCTAGTCCCTTTTTTACAAGTAAGTATACTTATAAATCAACTGCTTATAGAAAAAGGAAGTATACCGTACACTTTTCAGTTTTGAAACAGAATTTTCCTAAATTAATTTGGACTTAAACCCAATATATTGGGTTTGGTTTCAAAATATACAATGTCTGTCGATAACTTGCGATCAATCTCCAAACAGCTAATAACACTGTGCAACACAAAAAATGAACTGGGATCAAATCTGAAAAAATCGAATCTAGGCAACCCCCAAAACAAATCCTTTAAGGGGTTTTACCAGTTTAGCTCGAATAATGGAGATATACATATATATATATGTACAGGGTGTTTCTTTTAACTTGAGACAGCTCAATATCTCGAGAAATACGCATTTCACGAAAAAATGTCTTAAATAAAAGGTTAATGTGAATAAAGGGGACATTATTTGGTGCTACCGCTAGCCACCCCCTACCCCTCCTTAAGGGTGAAACGGGGGGTAACTTTGGAAAGTCAAATGGAATGACCCGATTTTTTTCACAGAGTTTGGTAGTACATAAAAAAATAAATAACTTTTATTTCAAACTTTTTCAATTTATCAACAGATGGCGCTGTAATTCAAAATTTAAGAAAAATGAGTTTCCTTGTAAAATGTATTATTTGAAACGTTTGAAAAACAAAAATTAACATTAACAACAATAGTCGGCTATGAAAACAATTTATAACAAATGTTCGAAATGTCGTCATTCCATTTCAACACATTTTTGAATGCGGGTAATGAATTCTGGCACACAACGCGCCAACATATCGGGCGGTATCGCCGCACAGGCGTTCCTGATCCGCTCCACCATGTCCTCCCAAGTTGTAGAAAATTGCAGCGTAAACTTTTTCTTTCAAGTAACCCCACTGGAAGAAGTCTGGTGGCGTAAGATCAGGTGATCGAGCAGGCCAAATTACTGGACCACGTCTACCGATCCACCGCGGTGCACCGGCCATTGAACTCCCGATCCAACACCTCTCGAGCAATTGTCGAATAATGTGCAGGACAACCATCTTGCTGGTACCACATGTTTTGGAGCCGTGCTAGTGGTACATCCTCCAAAAGGTCCGTCAGATCGTTTTCTAGAAAATTCCGGTACTTTTCGCCATTTAATGCACCGTCAATAAAGAAGGGTCCGATTAATCGTTCGCTTAAGGTACCGCACCAAACGTTTACCGACCAGGGACGCTGGTGCTCCACTTGGTGTCGAAATGGAAGGACGACATTTCGAACATTTGTTATAAATTGTTTTCAGAGCCGACTATTGTTGATCTAATGTTAATTTTTGTTTTTCAAACGTTTCAAATAATACATTTTACAAGGAAACCCCTTTTTCTTAAATTTTGAATTACAGCGCCATCTGTTGATAAATTGAAAAAAACTTTCAATTAAAAGTTATTCATTTTTTTATGTACTACCAAACTCTGTGAATAAAATCGGGTCATTCCATTTGACTTTCCAAAGTTACCCCCCGTTTCACCCTTAAGGAGGGGTAGGGGGTGGCTAGCGGTAGCACCAAATAATGTCCCCTTTGGTCACATTAACCTTTTATTAAATACATTTTTCCTTGAAATGCGTATTTCTCGAGATATTGAGCTGTCTCAAGTTAAAAGAAACACCCTGTATATCTCCATTATTCGAGCTAAACTAGCAAAACCCCATTAAAGATTAGTTTTGGGGGTTGCATAGATTCGATTTTTCCACATTTCATCCCAGTTCAAATTGTAAGGTCAAAATTTGTCGCACAGTGTAATAAGCGCGATGATATTTATCTATTCGTTTCATGTGATTGTTAATAAAAATAAATATTTAACCTTTTTTATCTACTTTCTTTGTCTATTCTAACAAAATAGTGTTCTGTCAAAGTCATAGGGGCCCCATTATCCTAACATGCCCAGGGCCTCCAATAGGTTAAAGACGGCCCTGCGAACGTGAAACACCCTGTATTTTGTAAATGGGCAACACCCTGTATATAATTAAAATAATTGTAAAATGTAGCTTTAATACCATAAACTTTATTTAGTGAATATATTTTTTGAAAACTATACAGTCTAGCTTTTATCGAAGCTGTTATATTCTTAAAAAAAATGACGCCGAAAAACAAGTATCATTTTTTAAGTCTCTTTTCAAAATCTATAGGAATTCTCAGGGCTCCCACGGCTAAATTACAAATTTTATTTAGGAATTTAGGAGGTTTTTTGTAAAATTTTAGGA